TCCCCCCAAATTTGGGAGCAATGGGCTTAGGAGAGAAACTGGCTTTGGGGATTGACAGGTCTAGAAAAACTATGTGGAAATTAAAGTTGTATATGCTTGTGCCTCCTTTATCTCTCCTTTTTTACCTACTTTTTATTTCTTTTATCCAACTCCAATCACCAGCCCTCTCCGATGCAAGGCTTCTGGCTCCCAATCTCAAGAGAGCCCAGTTGTCCACAAAGTTCCCGTTATCTCCCTGACAACTGGTCCCACCTGCCTTCATTTCCCTAGATTCCAGGACCCAGTTAGGCATATCTTTTGATCCTGTGCCCTTTATTCCCTTCCATCTTGCAAAGTCCTGGACCTGGATAAACTCCAAGTACTTCCCCACTGCATGCATCTGGGCAGGTGAGCCCTGATGGTGGAAGCTACTCAGCAAGTCAAGACGGGACACACAGACGGTAATGACCACCAATCCTGGCTGGGTTGTCAGGCTGTCAGGCTTCAGGGGATTCTGTGGACAAGTTGCTTCTTGACTCTTGATCATTCTCCTTCCTTCCAGCTCTTCACCACCTCGTTCTCGCTCCCAGCAGACCTTGCCTCCCACTTGGCAGAAAAAATAGAAGCTCAAGATGAAATCTCCCTTAACATCCCACCACAAACCTACATCTACATCTGCACCCATTCTCTCTTTGTTCCCGCTTTTGGGTTCCAGAGAAGTCATCCCTCCTCCTCTCCAAGACCAACCCCTCCACCCACGGGCCTGATCCCCTCCCCTCACCCATGCTCCTAAACATCACTCGCTGGTTATCTCCCCTCTTTCCTACAATCTTGATTAAAATCTCTCTCTGCTGGATTTACCGTCAGTTTTTAAATGAATTAAGTCTCTTTCATCTTAAAACACACCTCCCCGCATTACACACATGGATCCTGTCCCATCATCTCTCCCTTCCTGGTCACAAGAAACTTTTCAAAGGACCTGCCTCCTTCATTCCTCCTGCACTCAGACCACGGCCATGAGACCCCCTCCATCGCTCCAGTAAGTAGCACTTCCTAAAGCACTCCCATGAGCCCCTGGTTCCATCCTCACCCCCTCTGACCTCAAAGAGCATCACCCATCATTGGACTCTTTGCTCTATCCTCCCTTGGCTTCTCCACATCTCTACTGCTCCCTCTCTGGCTCCTAGTCTCATCCTTCTTTATGTGGTCCCACCCTGTGTGTGTGTCTCCAAGCTCCACCCTGGACCACCTTCTCTTCTCACTCCACATCCTCCTCCCTTGCAAAGTTTGTCCTCATCCACAGCTCCAGTGATCATCTTTCCATCAACAACTTCCCATCTCCATGTTCAGCCCGGACCTCGATGCTGAACCCAAACCAGATTTCCAACAGCCACTGGAGATGTGCTCTTGATGTTCAAAGGCATTTCAAGTTCAGGATGTCTAAAATAATACCTGCACTGTTCACATCCCCTCCACCACCTCTTCTCCCTCAACGCTCTCTATCAAGGCCTGTTGCCAAAAGCTTGATCCTTGTCCCTGATGCCAATTCAACAACTAGGACACGGTTTTGAGAAAAAGGTAAGACGGCTTATTGCTTTGCTAGCAAAGGAGAAACACAGGGGAATCCTGTCCCAAAGGCTGTGATTCTGCCCATCCACAGGAACAGAACTTTTATAGAAGTGATTCAGAGAAAATGAGATTAGGGAGGAGAGATCAGGAAGGAGAGGATCAGGGAAAAGAAGATCGGGGAGGAAAAGTTTAAGGAAAAGAAGATTGGGAAAAAGAAAAAAAAAATCTAAGTTTCAAAGCCACAAAGGATATAGTCAAAGCATCGAGTGAACCCCTGTTACAGGCCCACTCTGGTTTTCCCATCTCAGAGAAAGGCTCTGATCACACAGATACCCAAGAGTCTGTCCCAACACTGCCGCTCCTTTACCCTCTTGCTCCAACACATCTTGATGGCAACTTGCCGTCTCACCAACTCTAGGAAGGCTCCACTGCCCTCCCCTGAATGCCTTAACTGCTCTTCCCATATCTACTCATACACCCCCTGGCACTCCCACTGGGCCTTCACACAGGCCATAGCAAAATCCATTTTGCCTCTTGTCTCTTTTGGGCTTATGCTGTCACTGGCATCCAGTCACTCAGGCTGAAAAGAAGGAGCCCAAATGTGGCTGATCCCTTAATATGGAATCTACCTTCTGCAGACTTCTACATTCCCCGATTCCCGGTTCAGGTTCACCCTCTTGCCTCTGCTAAGCCTTGCCTTGCCTCTTCTTTCAACTGTACCTTTTGTCTCAGTCGCTTTGAATCGGTCCCTCCCTAGGCCCAGGATTCTTGTCCCCCAGCCTTCCTTATACTATAATCTAGGCTTCCTCCCAATCATCACTTCCTCAGAGAACACTTTCCAGTCCTCTAAGAAAAGAGAGATGGGGCTGGAGTTGTAGCTCAGCGGTAGAACCCTCGCCTCACATGTGTGAGGCACCGGGTTTGAATCTCAGCACCACATAAAAATAAGTAAATAAAACAAAGGTCCAGGGGCTGGGGCTGTGGCCCAGTGGTACAGCGCTTGCCTAGCATGCATGAGGCACTGGGTTCGATCCTTGGCACCACATAAAAATAAAATAAAGATATTGTGTCCACCTAAAACTAAAAAATAAACATTAAAAAAATAATAATAAAAAATAAAGGTCCATCAACAACTAAAACAATAAATAAATAATAAAAAAAGAAAAGATAGATCCCTCCTTCCTGTTAAATGCTTCGATAATAATAGTGAACACACATATACATATGCGTGTGTGCAGGAGATCTTCTAAGTACTTCTACTTAGAACTCATTTATCCCTCCATGCCAGTATTTCCAGCTACTTTTGAGGTTGAGGCAAGTTCAAGCCCAGCTTGGGAAACTTAGTGAGACCTCATCACAAAAGAAAAATTAAAAAGATTAGGAGTGTAACTCAGTAGTAGAACATTTGCCTACCATGCCCAAGGCCCTGGGTTCAATCCCCAGGACCTCAAGAACAAAATGGTAAAAAAGAAAAGAGAGAGGGAGAAAAGAAAAAAAAAAAATCTCATTTACCACCCACCCCATAATAACCCTAGGAGATGGAAATTATAATCATCTCCATTTCACAAATAAAGAAAGAGGCACAGAGGGGCTGGGATTGTGGCTCAGCGGTAGAGCGCTCTCCTAGGACGTGTGAGGCCCTGGGTTTGATCTTCAGTACCACATAAAAATGAAATAAAGATATTGTGTCCAACTACAACTAAAAGATAATAAATATTTTTTTTAAAAAGAGACCCAGAGAAGTTATGTAATTTTCCCAAGGTCATTTAGTTAATAAGAGGCAAAGCCAGAATTTGAACCCAGGCTGTGTGACTTCAGTGTAGCTTTCAAACACCGTACTACATAAGAAAATGCCATCCTTTTCCTGTCTGTGTTTAGCAGCTGTTTGTAACAGTGAATTATGTGACTATTTGTTTAGCATGTCTTCTCCATTCAACTGTGAGTTCTGTAGGAGTAAAGACAATTTATCTCCAAAAGTAGGTACTCAGTAGACAGTCACTCCATGGTGAATGTAGATTATTCTCCCTCTTCTTGCCCACCACCTCTAATCAGTCACCTGGTCCTGTCTGTTTCTTTCTTCCCCTAGGCAGTGGTCCCTAACCCTTGGAAGTCTGGATGTCTGCTTATCTGGTTCCTGAACTTGGGTGGAAAGTGTTATATGTTGTACATATCCAACATTTCTAGAGCAAAGGCTGGGTAATTCAAGCTGTCATCAGATTCTCAAGGGGTCCATAAAGTTTAGAACCATTGTCTTAAATATTCCCTAGCCCAGCTTATCCTCTTCCTGCCAACTCTCCTCAACAACCTGACATCTAGTTTTGCTCTCCAAAAATCCACCCTCCATGCATTGGTCATGGTGAGGGGGTGTTGTAAATCTGTCTACTTCTGCATCCTTAGATGTCCTAACTGGGATTCCTCTCCTCCCTACTGTACAGCCCAGCAGCACAGGGTTGTTTGGGATTCCTAGACTATACCTAGGCTGTTTCTCATGTCCTAATTCAAGCTGTGTCCCCTGCCTGGTGTGTCAGTCTCTCCTCAGCACCTAAAAATTCCTGTCAGCAAGGTGCATGCCTGTAATCCCAGCGACTCCCTGGGAGAGGGTTCCTGGCGAGCCTCAGCAATTAAATGAGGCCCTAAGCAATTTAGTGAGACCATGTATCAAAATAAAAAAATAAAGAAGGCTGGGGATGTAGCCCAGTGGTAAAGTGTCTCTGGCTTCATCCTCAGTACCAAAAAAATAAAAATAAAAAAGTAAACTCCTACTGTCTTTGAGCCTTAGTTTAGATGTTTCTGTGGGATTAAGTGCCCCTCCTTCGTCCTCCCCTGGGGTGCGCCTGTCCCGACTGCACACACCAGGCATTGAACTGTATAGCTGCTTGGTAACTGTCTTTAGCCCCGTGAGCTATAATGGCAACCACCACATCTTATTCATCTTTTTATGCCCCCACCTAGCCAGATGCTAGCCCAAAGTATGGGGCTCAGCAAGGATTTGTTCAATCAGTGAATGACTGAATGAATAAACCAATGACAACTCATGCCAAGTTTATGGGTCCTTAAAAAAATGTGTGAAGTGAATGAGTAGATAACTGGAAGCTCGGGTGCAGCCAGAGATGTAGATTAGGGAATTCAGAGAGGAGTCAAACCTGTCGCAGGCTCTAGAGAATTACCATGGAGGGCAAATCTCTTCAAGAAGCAGCCTAAAGGATTAAGAGGGTCACTCCTACAATGGCCGGCCCTGGGGGTATGTCCATGACCTGACACGCCCCCTCACCAATGGGAGGGCTTGTTGCCCGGGAAGTCTCCGCCCCCTGGCCTGCCGGAGCGGGACCCGTCACTGCAGGGAGTGAGACTACACTTCCCGGCTCGCCGCGCGGTGGGGACGAACGAGGAGCCGGAAGTGGGACGCGCGAGGTCTAAGGGCAAGAGGGAAGTGGCGGGCGGGGATCGTGGGGGCGGGGCGTGCAGGTGAGCCGCTGGCCCGGGTCGCGGGCATGGCTGAAGCCAGGAAGCGGCAGGAGCTGCTTCCCCTGATCTACCAGCATCTGGTGCAGGCCGGATACGTGCGCGCGGCGCGGGCAGTGAAGGAGCAGAGCAGCCAGGTGAGCTTTCGAGGCCGCGTGCGAGATCTAGAGCAGCAGTCCGCGCCTCCTCCCCGGGAGACCTGGTGGACGGCGGGTCCCTGCAGGGCTCGGGGTCGAGGGCCAGGGGTGGGAGAGAGGTAGCCTCTGTCTCCCCTCTGCGACTTCCAACCCACTCGGGCCTCAGTTTCCCCATCTGGGCAGTGGGCGGGCCAGGACGTGTGATCCCACGCTCAGGACTTTGTAATTCCCGCGCCCTTTCCCTCCACCCCCTTTCTGGTAGCGGCGGTTTTAAGTTTCCCGAGTCTTGGGCCACGTGGCTCGGCGCGGCCCCCCCTAGGGCGCGGTGGTTGGTGCCGGTCTCGGAAAGGATTGCGATCAGCCCCGTGTTAAGCACCAAGAGGAGGGAGTCCTTACCTCTTGTTCTAGAACTCAGGCCCTTGGCCATCCTGGGTACTGATCACTGACGGACAACTTTGGATCACCAACTCCTGGTGCAGTCATTTCTCACTTCATTCATTGGGCAATTTAATCTTGTGCTCAGAAGATAGAGTGGTGAACACGTTTCCCCGACCTCCTGGAGCTTGCAGTCTGGCACAGGAGACCAATCAAAGAATCACAAAAGTAACTGCACTTAACACTAGGTAGTAAGAATAAGAGATACCGTGCTAAAACCGGGATTGCAGAGTGCCTTGTTAGGAATATCCAGGACTGCTTCCCTGAGGAAGTGGCAGTTAACTTGAGCTGAAGGAAGAGAGGTGGGTATTCCAGGCAAAGGAGCAAATGCCCTGTGTGTGTGGCAGGGAGGGTAGGAATTTGCAGATGCCTTGGCCTCTGGAAAATCAGCTGTGGCCTGTGTATGAAATCCTGTCTCCAGGGGATGGGGGGGTAGATTGGCTGGAGCTGTTCATAGACACTTTGGTCTTCACCTGAAGAGTAAATTGTTGGAGAATTTTAAACTGATGAGAGGGATATTGACCTGATGGGTCAACATCACTTTGGTTACAGTAAAATCTCTGGTCCTAATGCTTGCTTGCTGGACCTCCTGGAGGGACCAAAGGGTGATGGGCCTAAGACATTATTTGTGATTTTCCCAACCCTCCCTGGACCTCATTTGCCCTTCTTACTCTGGTTATATTACTTACCAGATAAGAGAAGCAAGATACAGTACCATCTTCATTGGAGTATGTGCCTAAGCAAAAGTATCCAGCCCTTATGAAACATATGTTCTAGCAGGAACAGATAGTGACAAAGACAAAACAGACGCTTATGGTGTAGTGTATCCAGCTGATGGTAGGTGCTGGCTATCACAACGAGGCAGCCAAGGGGCATAAGAAATGTCAGGGTTCCACTGTAAGTCGCACAATCAGGAAAACCTCATTGAGAAGGTGGCACTTGGGGCAGACAACTAAAGAAAAGGAAGGAGTGAACAATGTAGTTAGCAGGGGAAAGAGAGCACTCTCCCAGTAGGCAAAGCTCTACTGGGGGCTGTTTACCTGACACTTGAGGGCAGTGAGGAAGCTACTGTGCCTAGAGCTAGGAGGCAGGGGGAGCAGAGTGAGGCTGATCCTTGAATATCAGGGTTACCAGCTCGCTGTGCTGTGCCAGCACCTGTTGTCCCCTTCATACCTGATACCTTCCTAGATGGTGAGTTTTATTATCCCCATGTTAAAGAAGGATTCTGAAATTTGAAGAAATAGCGTATCCAGCTAACTGAAGAGTTCTGCCCGACTCAGGTGTGCCTCTTGGCCACTCTGTTCAGATTGCTGATACTCTGTGTCCTTGTCTCATTGCTTGTTCACCCTCCTTGGAACACATGACAGTTTGGGTTCTTGACATTCACAGAGAAAGCAGACCCTCTGGCCTTTGTTCCAAGGGTTTAGATTCTACCTGCTTCCCTCTTCTTCTTCCAGAACCCAGTACCACATGGGCTCAGTCTCTTCCCAGCAGACTAGTGGGCTACACTCATGCCCAGTGGATGCCTAAGTTTCTGGGCTGTGGTTTGTGCTTTGGGAGTTGACTGGCTAGGCCTTTGAAGGCCTTCTAAAAGGTCAGGGGCAGGAAAAACCCTGTCTTGTGGCATCTAAAAGTGGCTAGTACCAGGGAGGCTGAATAAATGCTAGCTTGGAATAGTTTAGCTTTAGCCTCACAAAGGTGCCTCTTACCATCACATTGTATCAAAAAGGTTTCCCACTGGAATTACGTGCACTTCTCATCTCTGGAAGATTGGCAAGGCCAAACAGACATTTGTCCTAGGGCAAAGGACAAATGTCTGAATCACCTGTCTATGTAAGCCCTAAGGTCAAGGAGAAGATATTTCAGCCCAGGGAGAATCCTTACTGTGTCAGGGGATAATTGTGGGTCTCTTTTTTCTTCTCTGTAGAAAAAATTCCCGGTTCAGCCTTTCACCCTTCTGGACATCTATACACACTGGCAACTGTAAGTTTTGTGGAGCTAAAGGTTTAAATAGGGATACCTCCAAGCTATCATTTGGGAATAAACAAGGTTATTAATCTTGTCTAAGACAGCTCACTGTGGACACTGTTAATTGCTCCCAGGAAGCCAGATCATATCACATGTGTGGGTATCTGGCCACTAGTGGGGTGGGCATTAAGTAAGAGCTTTAATCTGTTAAGAACAAGATGTCTCACAAGTTTGTTATCCACTTGATCAACAAAGTTTTTTTGTTTGTTTGTTTGTTGTTTTTTATTTTTTTGGTACTGGGGATTGAATCCATTGACACTTAACCACATCCCCAGCCTTTATTTTTATTTGTTTATTTATTTATTTAGAGGAGTGTCTCACTAAGTTGTTCAGGGCCTCTCTAAGTTGCTGAGGCTGGCCTGGAATTTACAAGCCTTCTGCCTCAGCCTCCTAAGCTGCTGGGATTACAGGCATGCACCACTGTGTACAGGTCAACAAACATGTATTGCGCCAGGCACAATGACTCGTACCTGTAAGTTCAACAACAGGAGTCTGAGGCCAGAGGATCGTAAGTTAGAGGCCAGCCTCAGCAACTTAGCGAGACCATGTCTCAAAATGAAATAAAAGGGGCTGGGGATATAGCTCAGTGGTAGAGCACCCCTGGGTTTAATCTCCAGTACTCAGCAGCTCAGGAGACTGAGATAAGAGGATCATGAGTTCAAAGCCAGCCTCAGCAACTTTGAAAGGACTTAAGTAACTCAGGAAGACCCTATCTCAAAACACAATAAGAAAAAGGGCTAGGGAAGAGGCCAGTGGTTAAGCACCCCTGGATTCAATCCCTGGTACAAAAAAAAAAATGAGTGGAGGAGGGGATGGTTGTGTTCTGTCCCTGCACTGGCCTGACCATGGCTGACTGGGGAGAGGGGTGCTATGACAGTCCCATGAGGAATGACAGGAGTATTAGGAGAGAACTGAGGAACCATTGTCTGCACATCTTTGAGGACAAAGGGAGTGGGTATAGTGGTCCCACATGTATACCTGTGCGGGAAGAAGATAGGTTTCATTTCTGAAGACAAACACTTGAATATCCGGGAAGTCCAAAAATTAAGTGATAGAGAGACTAGTGAGCTTCCTATCCTCAGAGGTGTGTGAGCAAAGGCAGGAATGGTCTGAGAGAAATCCCAGCCTCCCAGGAAGAGCTAAGGTCATTGAAAACCCTGCCTGCCCTCAGGTCTTGGTTCCCCTCTGCTGCTAAATTGAGCTCAGAGCTCAGGACACACCCCATACTTCCTCACCCTGTTTGTCTTAGCCAGGTGTGTGGGTGTTGCTGATAGGACTTCCTTCCCTAGAACACCACATCAGTGAGCAGCTGTAAGCCCTTCCCTGTCCTGGGCCCCTCTATGGGTGAGGAGTACTACTAAGACTCCTGCCCTTTAGGCAAACTAGCCCAATGATTCCCTGCAAATTCCAAACCCATCCACCAGCCATTTGGCCTTGAGCAAGTTTCTGCCCTCCCTGAGTCTGTCTTCATGTGTAAAATGAAAACGTAATTATCTCATTGCAATTTGAGGATTAAATCCAATAGTCCTTAGTAAAGTGCTAAAGCTGACAACTGGAGGGGTCCCCGCCTGCCTTGGTGCTTATTGGACACCCACTATAAGCCAGGCACTGTTGATGTAATAGGGAACAAACCAGAGAAACTCCTTAGTGTTTCAGAACTCACGTTCTGTTGGGAGGAGAGAGGCAGAACAAGTGGATAAATGTAGTCAATGAAGCCTCTTAGCAGGAGATTCCTGACAAGTGCTCCCCCTGGGAAAAAAGGGACCTGTGCCACACATCTCGAACTGGCAGAGCAGTGTCCACCCCAGCTGGAAGACATGGGGCATAGGTAGACTCCCTGGAGGTGGGAACGTGGGTCAAAAGAGGTGATAACCTGAAAGTTCAGGAGACTCAGGCATCTGGGTGCTTCTTCTGTCAGTGCCCCCAACTTACTCCTCGACCTGGACAAGTCACTTAGTGTGCAAGGCACTGAGGGGACTCTAGTGAGCTGCCAGTCTTCCCACACCCCCAGCCCTTTCTGTGTAGTTGAGGGGGTCAGGCCAGAAGCAAGTAAAATCATGGAAGATAGAGAAAGGTACTCAGAAGGAAAGGAAATAGGATGACAGGGCAGAGAATGCCTCAGGGGAGGGGACATCAGTGCAGGCTGCTCTGAGGAGGCTGGATTAGAGCTCAGGTAGGAGGGACAAGGACCCTGGTTCAAGAAGAGGTAACAGCTCGTGCATTAAGTGCTTGCAGTGCAGGAGTGCTGCTAGTTCTGCAAAGTGCCTACATGGGACAGCACCTGTCACTGACAGTTAGCTGCTCCTGTTCTGTGACATTACTGATCATTCATGGTTATTTTCAAGACTGACTGAGAACTGGAAAGGCACTTTACAAAAGGAGTGAAAAGGCAGAATACAGATTGTATCTACGCTGTGTTCTCATCATTGTTTAAACCCTGTACACATTTCCTTTGAGGGCTAGGAGGATGTGGTAAGGACTCTCTTCCCAAATCTTATGGAGGTGTGCTGTCATCCAGTTGGTATAGCCAATCATCCCTGTCCTGCAGGACTTCGGAGCTTGGCCGGAAGCGGAAGGCAGAGAAAGATGCAGCCCTGCAAGCCAAGAAGACCCGAGTGTCAGACCCTGTCAGTAGTTCAGAGAGCTCGGAAGAGGAGGAGGATGAGGCAGAAGCTGAAACTGTCAAAGCCAGTAAGAGCCCTGCGTGTGGGGTGCTGCTAGGGGACTTGGGCCTCTCAGTCGGGTCCCCATCCCTGGTGCCGGTGGGGGTCCAGCTGGGGGCCTGTACCATAGGGAAAGGCCAGTGGGATAGCAGATTGCTCCGGGGTGAAGCCTTCCTCCAGTTTCTCCCCTAGTGTGAGCCCTGGGAAGACAGAACCTTTTAGTGGGGAGATTGGGAAGCCATCACAGATCTGTTTGAGCCTTTTAGCTGTGCCAAATGTTGTGTCCCCAATCTTGGGGATCCAAGGGTAAACCCAAAAACCCAGGTGGGTCCGTGCAGCACATAGTCCTTCAGAGGGACCCAGGAAGCTGATTTTTACAAGCTCTGAAGTGATTCTGATGGGGTGGAAAGAAGACCACATTTTCAGAAGCGCTGCTGGAAATGCTTTAGAAGGCTGCTAACAGACCCCTCTACTCTGTGTGGCCCTGGGCGCTGCTTCAGGAGTGCTTGTCCCCCCTCATTTTGGCAGTGTGCACATTGGTGCTAAGGGCTGTGCCAGGCAATGATTTCCGAGCATAGAGTGATCTGTGAAGGTCGCTGTTGCCCTTCTCACTTCAAGCCTCCCTGTGCTTTCTTAGCAGCAGCCATAACCTGTCTCCTAGGCATTGTGTTACCTTTTTTTTGCTTACATAAAAGACAGTTCCTTAATTTTTTTTTCAGTTTCTTGACTTTTTAAATATAATTTTTGATTGTAAAAGAAATGCAAGATTCATTATAAAGTATTCATTATATTCTTCAGGAGGCTGAGGTAGGAGGATCACAAGTTCAGGGCTAGCCTGGGTAAGACCCTGTCTCAGAATTTATAAAAAAAAAAATGGACTGGGGATATATAGCTCAATAGTAGAGTACTTGCCTGGCAACCCTCAGTACAGAGGAGGAGGGGTATAATATTGCGAAGGTTCTTTGAAAAAGAAAAGGAAAAAAAATCACTCATATTCTTGCTACCTATAATTCAGCAAATTATTCTTTCATTTATTTTTCCTGAGCCTACTTTGAAAGATGTTTGAGATCACACTGGATATATATTTTATGTCTTGCTTAATCTTCTTAAATTATAAATGCAAAACAAGTTCACTTTGAACTAGACAAACTATATAGAAGAAAACTGGAAGGTTTCCTGTTCTCCTCCCCTGCTTCCTTTCATTCCTTGCATGTGTCTATTGGTGGGTGGCCTGTAAAACTTCCTGTCTTGCATGCAAGGTCAAACAAATATCCATCCTTACATGCATATGTGCACACCTATACACCAAACAGAAATGGTCAAATTTCAAAGTGACTGGTTATGCAATTTTTGTGTGTGTGCTGGGGATTGAACCCTGGGGCGCTTAACCACTAAGCCACATCCCCAGCCCTTTTTTATGTATTTTATTTAGAGACAAGAGTCTCTCTAAATTGCTGAAGCTAACTTTGAACTTGCAATCTTCCTGCTTCAGCCTCCCGAGCTGCTGGGATTACAGGCATGTGCCACAGTGCCTGGCTTGGCTGTGCAATTTTTAAAGCTGTGATAATGGAATTGTAATTATACTTTTTAAAAGAGTCCTCATTGAGGAAAATAAGTTGAAGTATTTGTGGGCAACATGACAGAATGTCTGGCATTTTCTTCAAAACAAGGCATGATGGGGAAGAGCGGATGAGACAAAAGATGAAATAAGATTGGCTACAAGCTGATAATGGTTGGAGCTGGGTGGTTCAGTATCCTTCCCCTGTACTTATGAATATGTTTAAAATGTTCCATCATTACAGAAAGGAGAGAGATGGTACTAAGTGCCAGAAAAAGAATTAGATCATGCATTCATTCATCTCAGTAACATTCTTTTTAATAACTTAGAAATCTTTTCCTGTCTGAGATCTGAGGAGGCTATACCTTTGTTCAAAGCACTAAGAATCTATAAATCTCAACATCTGACTGGGCCTATGTCTCATGGTTCAGCCACTTCTCCATTAAAAAGACATTTGAATTCCAAGTAGCTTTCCCTATGGACCCAGGGCTGACCGTCTGTCTATTGTGCCTTTTTTCTTTTCCTGGATGTGTGGTGAGGGGCTGCAGGGAAGCTGGGGTGGAACCCCAGGGCCTCGAGAATGCTAGGTAAGTGCCCCCTGACAAAACTGCATTCCCAGCCCCCACTGCTGCTTCATGCAGGCGACTTTCAGGCCTGTAGTATGGTGGCCTGTGTGAATGTTACCCACCAGAGTTGTGCAGTGCTTGTAGTAGTGGGTGGCAGGGACATGAGCCAGTCTTTTCCTTCTGGGGCCTTGCTGTTTCGTGCCACAGGGGAGCTGGGAGAGCCTCAGGATGTGGATACAGAGCTTCCATGTTCCTTGATAGACATGGCTAATGGATCGTAGCTCTTTCCCACTTTTGAAGTCAGCGTCAACTTCTCGCAGCAGCCCCAGGCAGTCAATAGCAACTGAGTTGTTAGTTGAGATGAAACCCGCCTCCCATTGTTCGAGGGGAGGCCCATCTGGCTCATCCAGCGGTGTGGTGTTTGTGTCTTGCAGCCCCTAGACTTGCATCTACCAATGTCTCTGCTGTGGGGGCGCATTTGCCATCAAGCATGAAAGAGAAGGCCAAGGTGAGTGGACCGCTTTCCACACTGTGCCTGTGGGAGTTGAAGTGTCCAATAGGGAACAGTCCCCTATGTCTAAAAGTTGAGGTTAAATCAGAAACTGCTTAGAAAGTCAGATATCATTTTCTGATAACCCATAAAGTGCGGTTATAGACCTATAAAGGGTTATGTTCCTGAAATTGGAACAGTAGCAACAATATGTAAAAGTAATTGTGAAATGATTATAACATTTGTACCAAACCGATGTTTACCACTTGACAAGGAACCCTTGTGGCCCCAGGATTGTACTGCAATTCTTTCAGTGCCCCGGGGAAGGCAATTTCAGCCCAACTGCAGGAAAGAAGAAGTAAAGGCCATGGGTAGGGGACAGTTTGCTTGAACTTGCGCACTTCAGAAGTGGCAGTGGTAGGTTTAGTAGCAGGTGGGCTACGCTCACACATCCTGCCTCCCATACCAGGTGTTCCTGACCTTCTTGTTCTCTGTAGGCAAAGACAAAGAAAGCGGGCAAGACTGTGAACTCTGTGCCACATCCTCCCTCGGCAAAGGCAGTGGTCCATCTCCTCTCTGGAAAGTCACCCAAGAAGTCAACAGAGCCCTCAGCAAATACCACCTTGGTCTCAGAAACAGAGGAGGAGAGCAGTGTCCCAGGCCACAGAGCCGCTGCCAAGCCTGGTGAGAATCCCCACCTCTAGTAGCCCAGCACCAGGTTTGGGCTGGGAGACCAGCCTGGGCACTGCTTTGTTAAAGCTCTGAGACATTTGGAATTCAAAGGTTTGTCTCCATAATAGCAAGCGTAGATTAGCTGGAGGATGTCACTGTCACTTTCTGTAAACATCCAAGCAACCTGGGTGGTGGTCAGAGCATTTTTTGTTTTATCACTCTGGTGGATTGGAGACTCAACAGAAAGGCCTGGGTTTGACTGTTTCTTAAGCAAAGTGGGTATTTGCCCTTCCTGCCTCTGAGGGCATCGTGGTGAAGGGAGATGCACGAACTCTCAGGTGCTGGTGCATGTTTGTGGGGTCCTGTTCTGGCCCTTACCATAGCTGTGCAGGAAAACAGTTAATGATGGTTCCCATTTCAGAAGAGGAGAGATTTTTGTGCAGATGAGGAACTAATCAGTGCTTAGCAGCCAGCATGGGGGCAGTGCGGGGGAGGGTCAGGCGAGTAGACAGATGATGTTCATCTCTATGTTCCTCCCTCAGGGACAGTGTCAGCCGGTCCAGCTGACAGCTCCAGTGAGGACACCTCCAGCTCCAGCGATGAGACAGATATGGAGGTAATTGCTACTCATCCACAGGAGTCACCCTCTCCAAGCCTCTGACCTTCCCAGGGGCCTGACTGGGACTTCAAATACCAATGGGCCCAGATCAGTGCAACAACTGGGCCAGGACCTGGCAAGGCTTTTTGGTGCATGGGGATTACAGGGATCCCAGTATTGATCACAGCTCAGGGGTCAGGTAACTAGGGTGAGGGAAGGAGATGGGGTGAGCTTCCTGAGAGATGTGGCCTTGGAGCACAGTGGAAGGGAGGGGGGCATATTCCAAACAGGAAGAAAGGTAGGACCAAGGCCCCTGGGCAGGAGTGTCGCTGTCATGTGTGGCCATGGGTGAGGCTGCTGAGAGTATTCCAGACCACTGGTGAATGCCCACCTAGGGCAGGACTCTGTGGCCTTGTCTCTTCTCTGAACTTTGACCTGGGAGAAGTCCTCAGAGGTCATTCCCTATATACTAAGTGTCAGGCCTTGGGAACACCTGGTGAGCCTGCCTCCATCAGGAAAGAGAAGGTTCCCAGATGTTTAGGCATAATGGGATCCATCAGTTACTTGAAGGGGAAGTGGAGAGTCATGAGGGCAGAAGCAGGAACCTGACCCTGATGAATAAACATGGGCAGGAGGGCAGCACATGCAGAGATGGAGGCAGAGAAAGCTCATGCTTTAAAGAATGTTGACCTGCAGCTTTGTGAGTGGGGGCCAGAATGTTACAAGATGCGGTCACTCACAGGTTGGCAGGCCAGATCCACTATGCGACCTGGAAGACCACCATGGGAGTTTGGGTTTTATTGCAGGGACTATGAGAGTCCATTGCAGTGTTTTGGGAACAGAGGTTAAGGTGGCCTGAGTTATGTCTGCTCTCACAGCAAGACAGCCAAGGGTTCCAGGTGGGCCCTTTGTATAGACAAGCTGGGGAGCTGTTGGAATAACAATAGCTGAGGATGCTAATGACTGGGATCAAGGTGTCTAGTTTGAAAGCTGTTTTAGAGGGAGGACCAGCAGGAGTTAGGGGGATTGAGGCCACTCCCATCAGCCCCAGGCCTGACCCCAACTTCCATCCTCTCCAGGCCCTAGATGTAGTCAGCTATAAGGATGCTCCTGGTCCCATCACCCCAGGCTGGTCAAGGGAAAGGGGACTGCTACTGCTGGCAAACCAGTGCTGAGGCAGGCAGCCTAAGTGGTCCAGGACCAGTGCAGAACTCAGTGGCAGTGAGGCAGAGTTTGAGACTGAGGACATGAATGACCCAGGGTCAGGTGGGGTCTTACAGAGCATAGTGGGGGCACTCCTGTAATCCCAGCAGCTTGGGAGGCAGACTGAGGATCATAAGTTCAAGGTCAGCCTTGGCAACTTAGTGAGATCCTAAACAACTCAGCAAGACCCTGTCTCTAAATAAAATATTTTTAAAAGGGCTGGGGATGTGGCTCAGTGGTTAAGGTTCCTGGATTCAATCCCCAAAAAAATTTATATCAGAATTTTAGAAATTAGAATTTTTAAGCTCACAGAAGGAATGTGCCCCAGCTGTAAGCCAGTGGCAAGACTAGCATTCAGATCCTGGCCCTCAGCAAGACCCTGTTATCAGCAACATTAGATTAAGGGGCTGACAAAGATCAGCTCTCCTGAGAGGCTGGCTGCCCCTCTCCAAGCTGGACCCTACGCATGCCATGTGCAGGACAAGCGTGGTGCTTGAGAGTTTGCCCTGGTTGGACACCAACCAGGAAAGACCCCTCCAGATGGGATTCCATCCAAGGCCTTTGTATTGACCTTGAGTGATTTGTATCTATCTGAAAAATGGGAGTAAAGATAATATCTGCCTGGAGGAGCTGTTTGAAATTCAAATGAAGCACCTTCTGCACCTAAGGGGAAATGAAATGGTTATTATGTATTTCCTCAGCCTCTGAGCTTTGGCATCACCAGAGGATTCTGTGTGTTCCAGGTGGAAACCTCTGGAAAACCAGCCCAGGTCAAAGTCTCACCTGCTGCCCCCAAGGAGTCTCCAGCAAAAAGGGCGGCCCCAAGGCCTGGGAAGATGGGGGATGTGACACTCCAGGTCAGAGAAAGTGCCCTGACTCCAGCCCAGGGGGCCAAGAAGCCAAAAGAGGAGTTGGAGAGCAGCGAGGAGTCATCTGAGAGTGATGAAGAGGTCCCTGCAGGGATACACAACCAGGTGAGGCCCTGATGCCCATGGCCCCCAGTTTCTGGCAGAGCCACCGGGTGATGAGTGCCTCTGCCAGAGAAGACCTATGTGGAGCTGGGGAGAGGGAAGAGAGCAGTGTGTTTGAGTTGATGATCAGGACAGCTGGGTAGCAGGCTTCAGCACCTGTGGACATTGCCCTTCTGGCCCATGCAGCACCCTAGAATAGCTAGTTCCCGGAGAGTGGGTCCTACATCCTAATTCTGCCAGTGACCACACCACTTGCCTCAGTTTCCCTGTCTGGAAATGGGCTGTTGTCCTCAATTTAGCTAGTCCTGCTAAGAACTTTTTTTTTTTTTTAATATTTATAGACTAGTTGGACACAATATCTTTATTTTATTCATATATTTTTATGTGGTGCTGAGGATCGAACCCAGGGTCTCACATGTGCAAGGCTCTACCGCTGAGCCATAACCCCAGTCCAAGAACGGTCTTGAGACCTTTTCAATTACCTTGTCCGCTGGCTCAGGTCAGCCCAGACTCTGAGTAGACAAATACCATGTTAGCTAACGGAATCCAGGTACCTTCCTCTGCTGCTGGGACCTTTCCCCTAAGGAATGGCCAGATCTGCAGCCCCCAAGGCTCTGGACACATCCCAGGGGCAAGGTAGAGGGTTTGCAAAGCCCTTGGAATCAGAGCAAGAGGAAGACAGGAGAGCAAGTTATGTTAGATGCTAGGGAATATGAAAGGAGGCTGAAGCTAAGAGACTGCCTTGCAGGCAAAACCCTGGGTTCAGTCCCCAACTCTGAAAAGAAAGGAAAGTAAGGCAGGGTACATAGAAATGACAAAATCAAATTAAGTGGCTCCCAGGAAGAGAGATCTGAGTCAAGGCCTAGCTTGAAGAAGGACATCTTCAGGAAGGAAGGTCATTCTAGGCAGGAAGCAGAGCCTGTGCCCAGGCCTCCAGGTGGGATTAGGAGTAGGAAGAGACCGGTCTGAGTGTGCCTGCTGCTGCTCCCCAGCTCAGGGCCCTTCCCCTGTGCCCAAAGACTAGTGAGGACCACATGGCTGTCCACTTTTCAGAAGGAGCCCAGGTGTGTCTTTTTTACAGAAACTACATTCTCCTTGTTGGTTCAAAAAATTGAAAGGAAGTGATCCAAACAAAGGCCACCTGGAATAACTGGTTCTTAGAAGATCGGAGCCACCTATTTTCAGGGGTGTGGGGGGGTGACCCAGGGCTGCGTGGCCTGGACATTTTAGGGGGAGACAGAAAAGCCACCAGGCAACACAGAGCCAGAGAGCAGAGAGAAGAGCAAAGGAAGAGGAGCCACGGGTGGGGAGGCAGGCTGGGGGTCTCAGCAACCCTGGGGCCTCTGGGCTTTGGCCTAAAGGCATCGCCAGAGGATCTTTAGAAGAGGGAGAGTCACCTGCCTCATCTCGTTCACTAGGTAAAGGCCACTGAGAAAACCCTCCAGGCTAGAGCTGCCCCAGCCTCTGCCAAGGGGATCCCCGGGAAAGGGGCCACTACGGTACCCCCAGGGAAGGCAGGGCCTGTTGCTACCCAGACTAAGGTGGGGAAACCGAAGGAGGAGTCGGAGAGCAGTAGTGAGGAGGAGTCTGAAAGCGAGGAGGACAACCCAGCCGCCACTGCCCTGCTTCAGGTACAGCCGAGGAGGGACACCTGGCAATATGGGCTCTCCCGAAGGTCTCCAGGGACTTATTCTCCTACCCTGTGCTGGGCTCCAGCCACTTACCTTCTTGCCCTGTGGTGTCACTGGCCTGTCAGTTCTTCCGTGTACACACCCACACCCTGACTGTCCCCACCACTGTCTCACTGCAGGCAAAGCCCTCAGAGAAGAGTCCTCAGGTCAGGGCTGTCTCAACCCCTGCCAAGGAGTCTCCCAGGAAAGGGGCCCCTCCAGTGCCTCCTGGGAAAACAGGGCCTGCTGCCATCCAGGCTTCGGCAGGGAAGCCAGAGGAGGACTCGGACAGCAGCAGTGAGGACTCGGACAGTGAGAGGGCACCAGTAGCCATGACCCTAACCGTGAACCCTACTCAGGTGAGGCTGAAGGACACCCTGCTTAGGAAGGTCTCCTGTGGACTGGTGCATCCCCCTCAGAGCACCTTTCCCTGATCTTGTCCTTTGCCACTCCCAGGCAAAGTCCCTGGGGAAAAATCTCCAGATGAAACCTGCCTCGACTGTGGTTCAGGGACCTCTAGGGAAGGGCATAAGCCCGGTAGTCCCTGCAGCCCAGGTGAAGGAGGTGGAGAAGGCTTCGGAGAGCAGCAGTGAGGAGTCGGACAGTGAGGAGGAAGCCCCACCAGCCACCTTGGCCCAGGTGAGGTCCTTCTGCCAGGCCCTTCCATTCTCAGTGTGGGAGCCTGCATGGCCTGCCATCCCCTGTCCCCTCTGCTGCGACTCTGCTTGCTGTCTCAGTCTTTGTCTTTGCATACGTCACCCCTTGGGCTCCCTCTCCTGATCCCGTGTGTCTCACTCAGGCCAAGCTCTCTGGGAAAACCGCCCAGGTCAGACCTGCCTCGGGTTCTGCCAAGGGACACTTGGGGAAAGTAGCTGCCCCAGCGCCCCCACAGAAGGCAGGGCCTGGGGTCAGCCAGGTCAAGGCTGAAAGGTCCAAGGAAGACTCCGAGAGCAGCGAGACATCTTCTGACAGTGAGGAAGAGGCATCGGCAGCTGGGACTCCAGCCCAGGTGAGGCTGGGTGCTGAGGCAGCTATTCATCCTGACTGGAGCGCCCTGACCTCCAGCCCTGCAAGTCGGCATATGGGTTCTGGCTGTTGGGGGAACAGCAATGGGGCTGTACCTCAGAATCCAGGAACCTTCTCTAATTTATCTTTATTATCATTGTCCCCACAGGCAAAACCAGCTTTGAAAACTCCTCAAACTAAGGCTTCCCCCAAGAAAGGCACTCCCATTACCCCTGCATCTTCCAAGATCCCCCCAGTGCACGTGGGCACCCCAGCTCCCTGGAAAGCAGGAACCATGACTTCTTCCTCATCCCCAGCTGTGGCCTGGAGTACCCAGAAGCCAGAGGAGGATTCCTCTTCGAGCAGTGAAGAGGAGTCAGAGGAGGAGCGGGGGGAGTCTGCTTGTGCAGCAGCTGTGGCACAGGTGAGACCCGTGTAGGCTTGCCAGCTCAGGGCTGGCCCCGTGGTGCTCTCTGGGCTCCTGCGAGACCCCTCTTCCTTCCTTCATTCCAGGTGAAGTCTGTGGGGAAAGGCCTCCAAGCGAGAGCTGCCTTGGTACCCACCAAAGGGCCCTCCGGGCAAGGAACTGCCCCAGCGCCCCCTCGGAAGACAGGGCCTTCAGTTTCCCAGGTTAGAGCTCAGGATTCTGAAGACTCTGAGAGCAGTGAGGAAGAGTCCGACAGTGAGGAGGAGGCTGCCACTCCAGCACCGGTGAGGCCTAGGAGGAGCCAGTGGCACCACCCGCGCTAGGCCCAGGCCAGGTCTGAGGGTGGGCTTGCCTGGGGCCACTCTTGCTCGCTTCTCGCAATAGCCCCAGGATGGCCTCCACCAGTTCTGCTCCCCACCAGGCTCTCTATAGCTTCTCTGCCCAGCAGAACTCCAGGGTCTCTGTGGCCCTGTGAGCTCCCGTAGGTTCCAGTGCTTTCCACATGCTTTGTCGAGTACCCACCCTGCCAGGAGCGCTCCTGGGCTGGGGTTGCTGAGGCCCTGGCCCTCATAGAAGTCCCCCCCACCAGCAGGGTGTGGATATACATAGGCATGCATCCTTCCAGCAGGGTGAGGCAAGGTTACAGTAGAGGATGTGTGCCTGGACTAGCAGAGTAAGGAAGTCAGATCCGGGGGTTTTCAGAAATGGCATCTAAGCCAGGGGCTAGAAGTCGCCCTTGAAGTGTCGGGTAGAGGATTCCAGACAGAGAAAGCAGCCCGTTCAAAGACCAGATGGGGGGTGCCGCGCAGCAGAATAACCGGGGGGGTGACGAGGAACTTGTGTAGATTGATACAGCAGGAGTGGGAGCCTTTTATTGCAGGACAGGAGCAGTATTTATACATTCCACACAGCTTATCTAATTAGCATAAACTAGATACATCAGTCAACCAATAAGGAATCTCCACACTTAATGGCTCGCTTTTGTTACTTCTCAAACCACTCCCTCTGGCATTTTGCCAGGCACCATCCAGACTTGTTTACGAACTCTAACATTCCCCTGGCAAAATGCCAGGTGTTATTTTTGACTTGTTTACAGACTCTAAGGGGGGGGGGTTAGGGGAGCACACCTGGCTTGGGTACTGCACATCTGTCTGGTGGCAGGGGTAGATGGCAAGGGTTTGGAGCCACACTGCCTGGTTCAAGTTCCAGCTCCTGTCCTAGCACGTGTTTAGTCTGTGGGGGCTCTCATTGGACTACTGTGTGTTGCCACCAGCCCTCCCAGGTGGGTGAGAGGGGGTGGATCTCACCTGCTGCACCCAGCAGAGCGCCTGCATCTGGCAAGTTCTCACCTGGGTTATGTGCAGGTGGCCAGGCTGATGTGCAACAGAATTCAGAGTGGCCTCCCTGCCCTGAAGAGTGGGGAGCAGTAAAGAGTCCCTACCCCCTCTACACCCTCACTTTTATTATTTTTCATTGTCGCTCTTGGTGTTTTTCAATAATCACTCAGATATTAGTCATTTCTTCTTTCTCTGTACCAGATACATTTATTTAATCTTTTTGTCCCCTGCTTACTGTTGACTTATGGCACCCAAGGTCCCGGGATTCCTCCACCATGGTTTCAGGCTCTGCAGGGGCCCCTTCCAGGGCCAGCAGGCTCCTCCCCTTCCTCCTAGATGCAGACACATTGCAGATCCAGTGCCTCCGGGTTTTATTGTGCAGATCACTTAAGTGTTTGTCTTCCCATTTGAGCCTCCCACCTGTACCATGAGGTGGGCGTTTTATTTTTATTCTTTGAACCATGGGTTATTTAGAAGTGGGTTGTTGAATTTCCAAATATCTGGGATTACCCAGGTTTCTTTCTGTTGTTGATTTCTAATTTGATCGCACTGTGGTTGGAGAACAGATTTTGTATGATTTCAGTCCTTTTTTTATGTGTTGAGACTTGTCGGGTCAGGGTGGCCCTTGCAGCTTCTGTCCTTTTTCTCATGTCTGTGTAAAAGCAAGACTCTCCTAGGTGACAGGAGCTCTGTGCTGGTGAGCTCTCAGCCTGAGGAGCTGGCACGCTCTCACCTGGGTTATGTGCAGGTAGCCTTCTCCTTTCTGAAGTCCTGACTCTTCATTCCACTTACTTTCATGCACCTGAGGGACACTGGGGTAGGGTATCTTCTGACACTGACCAGACGACATCTCTGAATGAGCCAGGGCTTTGAGATGCTGACAATGCCAGGCCTACTGCTATACTTCTGGCAAGGATCTCTGGAAATATCCTTTATCAAACTCTCTGTAAGATCTGCATTTGCCGGAGACCCAGACAGACATTTTGGAAATGGTTTCTGCCTTGTTCTATTATCCTCAGTACCTGGCTCCCTCCTCATAGATTAATGTGGCTGCTCAAGCTCCGTTTATTACTTCGGCATTCCAGCCAGCAGGGAGGCAGAGAAATGTTACCTACCCTTTATGGCCCTCAACTTTTACCTAACTGAAAGGGAACCTAGAAGGCACCTTGGTTCTAGATAGGCTTATGCTTAGTTCCCACAAAGAAAAATGCTTACGGTAATGAATTTGAGTGTTTCGCATGTGCCAGGCACTGTGTCAAACAAACAGGATTTCCTACTTAATCTCACAATAACCCTATAGGTGGGGTTATTTTCCTCATTTTACAGAAGAGGAAATTGGGGCCCAGTGAGATCAAATGCTTTCACATTCACACAGCTATTAAATGAAGGAACCCAAATCCGAGCTCAGGATCTGACTACAGAATCCACATTCTGCCTGCGCATGTCACCTGCTCCTGTAACTTTCTCTTTTCCTTCCAGGTGAAGGCCTTGGGGAACACCATTCAGGCCAAAGCCAGCCCAGCTCCCATTAGAGCGTCTTCAGCCAAAGCCACGTCAGCCCCCGGAAAAGTGCTTACTGCAGTTGCTCCAGCCAAACAGGGGTCCCCGGCCAAGGCAAGTGGGGCCAAAAGCCACAAGAAGTGTCAGGAGTTAGGGCAGAAAGGACAACCAAGCAGTGGCCCCAGCCTGGACAAGGCCCTGCCTGGGCAGGGGTGACCTTGGGAGTCATACCATGGGGGAGTTTAGTCTGAAAGGAGCTATGCTGTTCCCCTGTGTCTCCAGTACCATAATCTCCTCCCAATTCAGGGGAAGCCATCAGTGAGAACCCCCCAGAATAGCACCGTCACAATGAAGGGCCAGGCATCTGTGGCCACCACGGGAAAGGCAGTGGCCGGAGCAGCCCAGACCCAGAAGGGGTCTGTTGGCAGGGCAGAGGAGGAGGACTCAGAGAGCAGCGAGGAGGAGTCAGACAGTGAAGAGGAGGAGGTGGCACCAGCACAGGTGGGCCAGGGTGCTGGGTGGGGAGCACCCCTGTGCTTCACTGTCTGTGCCAAGAGCCACAGGCATGCTCCAAGCCCAGCCCCTACAAGGGCCATGGCCCCTCTTTGCCCATCCACCTCCTCGTCTTCACACGTTCCCCGTCTCTCTGCCCTCGCTCGCTCTCTCACTGCAGGCGAAGCCCTTGGAAAATAAACTCCAGGTCAGGAATGCCTCAGGCCCTGCCAAGGGTTCCCCCATGAAAGGGGCTCCTCCAGCTCCCCCTAAGTCTGCATCCGCCCAGGCCCCACTGGGGAAGCAGGAGGATGATTCAGATAGCAGCAGCAAGGAGTCCGATAGTGAGGGGGAGACACCAGCAGCTGTGACCCCGGCTCAGGTAAGACCTGCAGGCCTCCAAGGCACCGCCATCCACTCCTCAGTTGGAACTCAAGTTCAGGGCCAGGTGGGGAAAGAAGAGCACAGTAAGGCTCTGGCTCTAGGGTCCCTTCCTTTACTGCTATCCTCCATGTCCCTTAGATGTCATCTGCTGTAAATCCCTCAAACCAAGGTCTCCCCAATGAAGGGTGTCCGAGGCTCGAGCAGATATCTGTGCAAGTTCAGTTGAGCAGCTCCTTTTAAGGCACAGAGGTTTGGACTGTGGTGCAGGGATCATGAGGTCTGGCGGGGTAAAGGAAGTCATATCCTAGGCCTCAGAGGCAGGTGCGTCTCCCAAGGGAAGTCCCAGCTAGCTTAGTGTGGAGCCTTGGTCCTGGGGAGTTGGGAGAGAGGAAATGAGAAATGACCTTTTATCAGGACAATTTTCTCTGATTATAGAAGGCACCAGGACTAGCTATGTCCTACAGAAACTTAGGGTGACAGATTCTAGTTAGGGCTCAGGCACGATATGGAAGTGGTTGACACTGGCCTGACAGAAGTGATAAACGATGGCAACTGACGCTGAGCCTTGGGAATAGGAGAGACCATAGGTATGTAGCAAAATTAGAGCCAACTGGAGGGACGGCCCTATTATAAAACTACCAGTTGTGACCTTGTAGAAATGTACCCTCATTATGGCCAAATCTTCCTTTTCTTGAAGGAAGCCAGAAATCACTCCTGGCCAAGTTTCATCTCTTAGATTTCCATTTTCTTCATAAGTAAAACAAACATCAAGAACTGTGTTAGATGCTCCTAAGTTTGACCTCTGCCTTTGTGAATGGAAGGCATTGGCCCTCACCTCAAGGAGCCTGTAGTATGTAGGGCGAGACAGGTGACTGGATCATGGAAGAATGTTCTGGTAGTGCTTTTATCTTCTGGAGTGAGGAAAACAGGTCTGTGAGAGGCCAGAGGCAAGTATGGTTGAACTGAGCTAGAAGGAAGACCAGACATGCCCAGGCACAGGTGGAGATGTGAACTTCACAAAGCAGTGTGTGCAGCCGATGGACCCAAGGGCAGGTGGTCAGTAAAGGCACTGTCTCACAGACAGCATCCTTCCTGTTGCTTGCCACTGGTAACATATATGTAGGGTCTAGATCCCAGGCGAAGACATGGATCCCAGTCATATACTGACCTGTGCAGCTTTTTGATTCATAAGTTTTTGGTGAGTTGCTGTGTCAGTCATGGTGTCCCAGGCTGCAGGAGAAAACCCAGTTCAGAAGGGCTTTAGCACTGGGGGACCGGTTCTTCAGCTTCCCTGATGACCCACTAGCCTCTTGGTCATAGCAGGGCTGTAGCAGCTCCTGAAGAGCTGCAAACATTCCTAGCAGACCCCTTCTCAGGTCTCCTTTTCCAGATTTCCGGCTGGAGGTGCCCAAGCCCTCACCCTGATCATTGATGAGGGGCCTGTAGTTCCCATGAGTGGCTAGGAGGAGGGCCACCCTCCCCAGAGCAGGTGATGAGCACCACCAGAGCAGAGTCAGAATCCGTAAGGAAGATTGATAGGCATCACTGCTGGGGAAGCAGTCAACTGTGTGTGTTGTAGTTGCCCCATTTAAAAATTGGGAAGCTGGAGCCAGAGCTGTTGGTGCATACCCATAATCCTAGCAGTTCCTGAGGCTGAGGCTGGAAAATAACAAATTCAAAGCCAGCCTCAGCACAGTGAGACCCTAGCGACTTAGAGAAACCCTGTCTCTAAATAAAATATTAAAAAGGAGTGGGGAGGTGGGGATGTGGCTCAAGCGGTAGCGCGCTCGCCTGGCATGCGTGCGGCCCAGGTTCGATCCTCAGCACCACATACAAAAAACAAAGATGTTGTGTCCGCTGAAAACTAAAAAATAAATATTAAAAAGTTCTCTCTCTCTCACTCTCTCTTTAAAAAAAAAAAAAAAAAGGAGTGGGGATATGGCACAGTGGTTAAGGACCCCTGGGTTCAATCCCAGGTACCCCCCCAAAAAAAATTGGGAAGCTGGGTGCGGTGGCACATGCCTGTAATTCCAACAAAGGAGGCTAAGGCAGGAGGATGGCAAGTTCCAGGCCAGACTTGGCAACTTAAATGGCAATTCAAAGATGAAAAGGCGTAAGGACAAGGCTCAATGATAAAGCTCCCCTGGGTTCAATCCCCAGTATTGAAAAAGACAAAAATAAGAAAAGTTAAAATTGATAAATGCCTCATACAAATCAGATTCTTTTAGCTCCTCCTGAGGAATCAAGGGCTCAGGCACACCCAATGCTTCTTGTGGCTGAACTGAAGTAATGACAGATAGAGTCTCTATCCTGGTAGGGAGCACGGAACTGCCCTCTGGCCTGACTGCAGGGCCCGTTCAGCCAGCCCCTCATGCCTGGCCTGGCCGGGAGGGATGGCGGCCAGCAGGCCACTTTTAGCTGGGGGTGTTAGAATCACATATGAGCTGTTCTGAGACCACTGACCTGCAACCTCGCCCCAGGCTACAGGCCACCAACACCACAGCCCCCAGGTTTTAGCTGTGACTAAGTCATACACACCTTTCAAGTTCAGAGTCAGGTCTGGAAGAAAGTAAGTAGATGGAGATATGTGTCCAGTGGCTGTGGGGCATGCCTGGCCAGCAGGTGTCCCCTTTTTGTGTGTATGCAGAATGGAGTTGTGCCATCTTCCCCAGAGAGCCAGAACACAAGAGGGGCATTGTCACTAGCTGTGTTCCCCCTCAGCTCATACCCCTTCCCCATCATGTTCTTGCCTCCTCAGAAGGATGGTACCTCCAAGACTGCCAGAGGCAAGGCCCTGACCTCAGGACCCGCTGAGAATGCAGAGGTGTCCTCAGACAGCAGTGGCGAAGAGCTGCCATCAAGCCAGGTAGGCAGCACCTGGTCCGAAGACACGCCAGGCCCAGCTCAGCAGGGGTGGTGAACTGGGGGTGGGGTGCAGATCTTGCCACAGGGAAAACTTGCCACTTTTAAACACACTTCACAGTTTCCAGAGCTCTCTCTGACACATTCATCTGGACAGTAACCCCATGAGGCAGGCGGCAGAGAAAGTTGAACACATAGGCTTCCAAGCAGGGTAGCGGAGGGTAGAGGCCAGGTCCATACCTACCAGCCCTAGGCCCCAGCAAATGCTTTGACCTTCCTGAGGCTTGGCATTTCAGTTGTAAAATGGGTGGGGTCGGTAACAGTGCCTGTCTCCTCATCTGTACTGATGCAAGTACCTCAAGTCCTTGGCACAATCCTCTGCCTGTGCCAGAATGCCTATGATTGTCAGGAGGGCAGGTGGCATTGCCCCATTTGACACTTCAGGAATGGAGGCCCTGAGAGTTGAAGCAATTTCCCCAGATTCTCAGGAAGAGGCTGAGAAGGGCACAAACACTGGCTCCTGGCCCCTGTATGTTCTTGTCCTGGCTTGGGACCTGAGCTTCTCTGCAGGGCTCATCAGAATTCCATGGCCTCGCCCAAGACCCCAACCTGAGCAACTGTGGCACCTTAGCATGCTCTGCTGCACCCCTGGTGTTCCTTAGACAGAGTCCCCAAGGGAGGGACCAAGCCCATCTTCTCTCTGACTTCAGAGACCAAGGGAGCTTGACTGCTGGGGCCTAAATTTTCATGTGAACCCAGGCCTTTCTAGCAGCCTCACCAGAGCTGCTGGAATCCTGCAGCCCCCACACCAGTGGGCCTGCTTCACCACTGTCCTTCTGTATCAGGTGTCAGTCTGTCACTGAGGTTCTCCTGACGGCTGCTCGCACACCTTCACCAAAACCATGGTGAAAAATTAATGTTATTGGTCCCTCCCTGTGTGCCAGGGACTGTACTGAAACCCATTTTGAGTTATTCTGTTTAATCCCACAAGAACTCTGAGGGAAGGTCCTTTTGTTATTTGTATTTTAAGGAGGGGGATGAGGCTCAGAGTTGAGCAGCCTGCCCCATCCATTTGAACCCAGGCCGTGCTCCCTGGCCCTGTCCAGACATTTCTCTGGGGCTTGGGCTGTGCCCCTGGCTTGCTGTGGAGCTTTGTGAAGTCTCCTTCTTGAGGGCTCAGAACAGCTGGGAGGGAGGGGCCCCTCTGAATTTCCCTGCGGGGGCTGGCTAACACAATTAAAATGAACATCATGCTTAAACTGAACCATTTAATTGGTACGTTAGTCCTGAAGATTCTGGAGCCCCTGTTTGAAAAGCAGAAGGGAAAATAGTCGGCAGTTTGTGCATTCCCCAGGGAAGATTGGGAAGACAGGCACTTCCTGGGGAAGCTGTGGCCTCCGCCTAGCTGGGGGACTTTAAGCTTCTCAGTCCCTTAATTATGATTACTATCATTATTAAGCATTTATCAAACATTTTGCTATTGGCAGTTTTTGCTGTTTTTCTTATTAGCCCACCAACCTAGCAAGAGCTTGATGTGGGCTGAGCCCCAGGCTCCAATCCCAGTCCCCTGGCTGCACCTCTGCCATGTTGTGTAGAGCAGGGGCCTTGGCTAGGGCCTGCACTGCAGCCTGGCTTGGGTGCTGATTAGAAGGAAAGTGGTAGGTGTGTGAGGCAATGCATGCATTAAATAGCTCAAGGGAGCCATTCCACGACACATGTGTGTCACGGCATGGATATGCACCAAGAGCATATGTGGTTTTTACCTACCAGCTTAATTAATTTTTTTGAAAGTGTCAGTTTCTCTGTTATTGTGCCAAACAACAAAAGACATAGGCCCTGCCCTCAGAGTTTCAGAGAGGAGAAACCTGTCAGAAACTAAGGGTGTTAAATTAAGGCCTGGCATGCTGGGTACTAGGAGGAGCTCCTGGCTGGTCCCTAGAGAACTAACTTCCAATTCTGCATTTTAGAGCATTTTGCTGGTCACCCTGAGCAAAGTCTTTGGACCTCAGCCTTTTCAACCCCTGGGGCAAGGCTCAAAATTCTCAGCCACATCCCCAAATAGTGGCATTTCTTAGTCCCCTAGGGTAGGACTGGCCCAGATTCTGCTACCCAATCCGCGGACAGGTTTTTGTGTTGTTTTTGAGGTGCTGGGGATGAGCCCAGGGACTCCTGTGCTCAGAACTCCTCTTACCAATGAGCTACACTTCCACTCCACAGGCAGTTTTGGCAGGGACTCTTGGAGCAATCATGCCTTTGTGACTGTGTCCCATGCTGGGGTCTGCAGCCTGAGCCACCAGCTCCACCTGGCCCCAGTCTTACTGAGTGAGGACACAAGCTGTGACCTCCACTTTAACAGGCCGCAGGTGCTGCCCAGGAAGCCTCTGGCTTCTTCCCACGGGCACCAGAGCACGAGTGGGAAGGGAGCCCCTGGGCTCCTTCTGGTCCTTAGTATGCCGCACCTACAGGTGCAGCCATGGGCTCGAGCAGAGCAATGACGCTCAAGGAGCTTCTCTAACCAGAACAGGAGCCCCTGCATGAGCTAATGTTCAGTGCCCCCATCCCAGTGAGTGACCGACAGGGATTACTATTTGTTCTTTCAACAGGTGAGAAACTAGGTCTCCGGCCTTTGGGGCTTGACCACATAGGATTGTCATGGCAAAGGCAGGCACAGAAGGGGGTGTCCCCTGCACCCTTGGTGATGCAGCCCTCCTCTTTGAACTCTCCAGGCCTGATTCTTGCTCTCCTGCTTAGAATAGTACCGGGCTGTGGGCCCCTTGTGGCCCAGCTGCCCTCTGCATCCGGGCCCCTGCACCACCTCCCTCCCACAGCCCAGCGGCCGGGCCTGGCCGGGGTGGCGTGGGCCGGTGGAGCTGGGAGGAGGCTCTGCTGCTGCGCTGCTTTTAACATCCCGAGACGCTATTGTTTGCCTCAGTGGGTTCGTTGCCTCTCTTGGTCCCCGACAATCTGTTCTTCTGTCTTCTCACATATATATAGATCCCCCTCCCTCCACTGCAAGCCTTCTCCCACTTTGCATCCTTCTCTTTTTCATCACGTGGGAAGGAAGGCTCTGGAAGTGGCAGATCAGAGCAGCCGTGGGGGAGGCTGTTTGGCAGGGGTAGGAAGGGCCTAAGCCCAGCAGAGCTTCCACCCTCGGGCAGGCACCTTTCTGCTTACTTTTTACTTTACCTCTCTCAGCACAGCACCTTGAGGGATACTGAATGACAAGTCAGGCCCACGAGGTGGGCAGGGTGGTGTGTCGAACAGAGACCCGACCCAACCCAGCCCCAGGTCTAACTGCCCCTCACCCAGGCCTCAGGCACCTCCCCCTCCTGCCCTGAATTGCCCCACTAGCCAGAGCAGGAACAGACCTCAGGTTAGTGCTGACATTTCCCAAGTGGAAAGTAGGTGCCCCCATCCTTGGCTCATGGCTCTCCCTGCTCTCCTTAGTTGGGGGCTTTTAGGAGGAAGCAGACCTGGATTCCCCTGGTGCATGGGTGGCATATTCTAGGAGCTGCAGTTCCTAGCCAGACTGGCCTGCACAATACCAGTGAGCTGCTGTTGCCACCTGCTTTTCCTGTCACTCTCTCATTGGGACATTGAGAGCCCACCCAAAGGTGAGGCAGTGTGAAGAACTCCACAGCCAGCCCAGTCTCTGCAGTCACACGCACCGATCAGGCTGGCTCCGAGCACACCCCCCCCCCCCCACCTCCCAGCACCCTGGCCACTTTGAAGCTGGTCTTAGGCCTGTCGTCTCATCCACTAGGATTTCAGTGTGCCGGTCTGAATGAGGTCTCTTTCTTTTTTCTTCCTTTTAAGCACAACCACGATTGTATATCACAGCTAAAAAAACTGACCTACCCAGACAAGCGTTCTCATTTCCCCAATTACCTCATGAATGGTATTTTTTATATTTGATGTGTTCAGATAAGATTCCAAATAAGGGCCACACGCTGCATTAGGTTATTAATCCCTTTAAATCTTAATCCCGTGGTTCTTCCCCACCCAACCACCCTTGTTTTCCTCATGTATTTTATGTATTGAAACTAGGTCAGTGTAGCTGGGGCTGCAGCCTGGGCCACATCTCAAGGACATGTCAGAGTTGCTGCAATGGGGAGAGCTAGACTCTAAGCACCTTCCTGGGGAACCTTACATTATGGCCAGGTCACTGTAGGAAAGACTTTAGGGCTCCGCCTCACCAGGTCTCTAAAGTCAGCCAGGGGAAAGAAGGCTCAGTTGAACACTGTGGCCCTGGCTTTGCTTCTAGCAGGCTATGATGGTGGGCACTCCTTCCCTTTCTGGACTTGTAGCTTGTAGACCTCCCACCTGTGAGTATAACTGATACTGCTGCCCTCGGGGGTTCACTGTCAGGGTCAGGTGGGCTCCTGTGAACTGTGAAGTGCTGTGCTGGGTCTTGGAAGGTGCCCTGGGATGGGTGTGGGCTGGGAGTGCCCTAGGCAGCTAGAGTAGCCTCTGTGCCCAGCTGCGCCTACGCTTCTTGGACCCCTTTGCCTTACAAAGTTCCTGTCTTCCTCTTTCCCTGGCCAAGCTTTTAATCACTGGGGGGTATGTTCTGTTTTTGTTTTTCAAGGTGATTAAACCCCCTCTGATTTTTGTCGACCCTAATCGTAGTCCAGCTGGCCCACCTGCTACTCCTGCACAGGCCCAAGCTGCGAACACCCTGAGGAAGGCCCGGGTCTCAGATGGCACTGCCCGGCACTCCTCCTCCGAGAGCGAGGATGAAGACCTGATCCCCGCCACACAGTCCTCCACTCCTGGTGAGTGCCCTGCTTCACCTGCCAGGCTCAGCTGGGTGGAGCTGCTGGCAATGACCCCATTGAGGCGAAAGGGGACAGAACTCTGGTCGAGTTGCATGGCCAGGGATTGGTCAGGGACCAGGTGTCTAGGCCCTGCATTGTCACTCTGATGAAGGGCTAGCTCACTATCAACAGAAGGTAGGACCAGATCTGGGGTGTCCTTGACTTAAAAGAATCTGTGATTCTATCAATAACAACAAAAAATGGCTGCTACTCTTATTGTTGTTATAACACTTTAATGAGGAAATCATACCTAATGCTGGCAAGGTAATTAAGAAATGATATTATGAGCTGGGGTTGTGGCTCAGTGGTAGAGTGCTTGCCTAGCATGTGTGAAGCCCTGAGATCGATTCTCAGCACCGCATATAAATAAAAATAAAGGTCCATTGGCAACTAAAAAATATATTTTTTTAAAAAACCGTAATATATTTAGCACAAAAGAAAAAGTACCAGCTGGGCACCTGGTACCCACCTGTAATCCCCGCTATAGAGACTGAGGCAGGAGAATTGCAGCTCAAGGCCAGTTTGGGCAATTTAGTAAAACCCTGTCTCAAAATTTAGAAGTCTGGGGATGTAGCTCATTGGTAGAGCTCTTGTCTAGCATATGTGAGGCTCTGGGTTTAACTCAGTACCACAAAAAAAAAAAAAGGAAGAAGAAAAAATATCACCTATAACCCCACTGCCTGCATCTCAAATATTATTACTTCTAACGTTTCTCTGCTGCTGACTTGACTGAAGCCTAAGACACACCTGTGTTTCTAAAGTAGACCATACTGTACATAGTGCTTGTCATCCTCAGTGGGTATGTTGTGACGTTGTAGGTTTGTCAGTACATATTTATGGTGTGGTTCCTACTGGTTACAAGATAGTACCACATTCCACTCTGCCAGCACCATGTCGGAAGAGACAGGGGTTTGTCTTGGGCTCTGATGAGTTGCTCTCCGGTGAACTCTAGAACAGCCTTTGCAAATATCTGGGTGACTCTCAGGAGAGACCATTTTACATGAGGAGTCTCTGGTACCAGTGTTCTAGCACATGGCTCAGGTGTAGCAGCCTGACTGGCTGAGAGGAGAGGACATGAGGAAAAAGTGGGGGATTACTGCCATAGCAGCCATTGGATATTCCTGAGCTGTGTCAGATGACAGGCCCCTGCCTGGAATGCTTGGGGTATGGAGTGAAACCTCTTTCTGTGGAAGGCCTACGCACAGCACTGGGTCCCCAGATGGGCTAGTGACTGGGTTGTGCCACCACTGAGGAGGCCATGGGTTTCTGTATCCTGATGTGCTCCCGTCCTCTATTTCAGCTATTAAGACCAATGTGATTGTGCCCACTGCCCATGCACGGACGACTCCCGGAGCCAACAGCAGGGAGGAGTCCAGTCGGACATCGGAAGGCAAGAAACAGGAGGCAGCAGCCACTCAGGTACCTGGTGGACAGGGAGGGAGGGAACAATCACTTTAGCATTCTTCCCAGACTTCACCATTTTTAGTGCATTGTTATTTGACCCTTGCCTGAATCTAAAAATGCAGTGACCCACTGTTCAGAAGATAAAACAGCACACATCCCCACCTGGGCTGTGGTTTGATCAGGATTGGGCAGGGCCAAAACCCAGGTCTCCTGATTCCCAAGTCCCTGCTCTTTCAGCCTTATTGGTTTGTTATCCCATTGAGAAGGAGCTGTTCACTGCACCCCACCCAGTTCTTCTTGAGAGGGTGAGAGAAAGTTGCCATGCATCTAGGGGGCAGTGCCAACTTGGAGGGGCTGTGTGGGTATAACCAGCCCATGATCACTACACCCCCAAAGCCCATACCTGTTTGGCCCCTCAGCGAGTAGATGGTGTTGACCATCTGCCCTTGCCAGACACGGCGATAGCAGGAACAAGACAAGGAGGGCCCCTGTCCTCATGGAGTTCTCAAGCCAGTCGGGAAGCAACCATTAAACAAGGAAATCAAATAGAAACAAGTTCCCCACCAACTGTTTGATGCAATGAAGGAAACAGAACATAAACTAGAGAGTAGTGAGTGATCTGCTTTAGGAAGGATGGGCAGGGAAGCCCCCCTGAGGAGGTGAGCTGGGGGCACCCTGCAGATCGGGAAGTTGAAGTTCTTGCTCTCTGACTGTTGGTGGGTGCAGAAAGTAGGGGGACCCCCAGCTAGAGGTTTATCCTGAAGAGGGTGCGAGTTAGAGTGGGCCTCAGGTGGGACCAAGCTACTTCCCTTTCTTGCTGGGAGCTCTCTCTCTACTCTAAGAACAAGGTGATTTTCTCATAACCTTAAACCTGCCACCCATCTTTCTGCCCAAATGGTGACATTGCCCCTCTAATTGCTGCTCGTCCCCAACTCTAGCCCCATGGTTCTTGGCACTTGGGTCCCTTTTTACCCCAGCCAGACAGGGTCTGACCAGGCATGACCTAGATGGCATCCCAGTTACCCATTGGTCTCAGGGCTGCCCCTCACTGTCCACAGGTGGCAAAGCGGAACTCAGCTTCCCTCCCGCTGACGCAGGCCGCCCTGAAAGTCCTCGCCCACAAGGCAAATGAAGCCCAGCCTCCTGCCAGGACCCAGTCTTCAAGTGAGGTGAGCTGGGAAGCAGGGTTACCAGACCTTCCACAGGGAGGGCCCAACCCTGAGTCCCAGGACTTACCTCCCTGGATCTCGGTGGGCTGGTGTGTAAGGAGGAACTACAGTGTTCACCCTGGAGAGCTGCGGGAAGGATCCAGGAGGCCACCTGTGTGGCCCTGATACAGTGCCCAGCCCGTTGTTGTGCTAAGCAGGCACCATACTGCTCGGCGTGACCTTCCACTCTTTCTTTCACCAAATTAGGTTGACAGTGCTGTGGGAGCACTCACTGTGACTCATCCCCAGAGCTCCCCTGTCCAGAACAGAGTGAACAACAAGCTCAAACAACCCAAGCCTCCTGCAGGCCAGCAGGCCACAGCCACACCCTCGGGCCACTCCAAAGCCAAAGCCCCTGGGGGCTCAGACGACAGCGAGGACAGCAGCGACAGCTCTTCAGGGAGTGAGGACACTAGGGGACCTCAGACAGCCAAGTCAATCCCCAGGCTAGGTGAGGGTGCTAGGAGGGCAGGTCCAGCGCAGGGGTGGGATGCAGCCTGGTAGAACCCTGGGCTTTGGCCTCAGCTCTGTGTCCCAGCTTGATCTGAGACCTTGGCCATGTTATCCCATGTTGGGCCTCAGTTTACCCATTTATCCAGCCCTCTGAGGAAATCTGTCCAAATGATTTCAAAACCCTGACTCTTGTTGAACTGCTGGTAGCTTCTTGGTATCAGACTCCTCTTATTGACTCCCCTAACTCCCAAGACCAGGCTTCCCCACAAGGGAAAGCAGGGGATATAAGTGGGGCCTTGGGAGCTGGAGATGAAGGCCGTGAATAACATGATGTAGCAGGACCTTCCACAGGGAGGGCCCAACCCTGAGTCCTTGGGTGGAGGGATGGGGGGACTTAGACCTGGCATCTCAGGCCTCTGAAAGGTTCACTCTGCCTAACTGACAAGGGCCACCAGGGGCCCTCAACAGGATACCTTTGCTTCTCCAGTAGGTCCAACCCCTTCTAAGAAGGAGACTTTGGTGGAGGAGACTACAGAAGAGTCCAGCGAGGATGAAGTGGTGGCCCCTTCCCAGGTAACTGCCAGGAAGAGGGCTGGTTGCCCACAGGGTTGGGCTGGACTCTTAGACCAGTTAGACCAGGTGTCCTTCAGGTCAGACATCTGGCCCCCTCCTCTTGCCCTGGGCAAAATCCTGCCTGCAAAGGAACCAGGCAACTGGGCATGATGGTGCACACCTCTATTCCCGGTGGTTTGGGAGGGTGAGGCAGGAGGATTGCAAGTTCAAAGCCAGCCTTAGCAACTTTGTGAAACCCTGTTTCTAAATAAAATATAAAAAAGCACTGGGGATGTGGCTCAGTGGTTAAGCGCCCCTGGGTTCAATCCCCCCAAAAAAGAAAGAGCCAGGCAAGCTCCTACCCCAATCCCTAGGAGCCCAAGCAGTTAACCTCTGGGTCTGTGATTCTAGGTGATTCCCAGACAAAAACATTTCTTAACCAGGTTTCTTTAAGGTTACTCTCTCTGTACATGGCAAGTGCTGATGACTTTTGTGTTTGCATTCATAATAAGAAATTTCCTTTTTGGATGTATTATCTAAAATGTGTATTGATCAAGGAGTTCACAAGGTGCACTGAAGCACCTCAGGGCTCCGTGCCCACTCAGTCTGCCCCAGCAGGGTAGGCCTGAGCGCCCTGGGCTGGTGTCCTCACAGCAGGTCATGCTTCTGGGCGGGATGGGTGGGCTTGCAGCCTCTTTCACACTGGGCTTCTTCAGTCTCTCCTCTCAGGTTATGTGACCCCGGGGCTGAACCTGGCCAAATCCCAGGCTTCAGAGGTGACTCCAAAGCCAGACTCCAGCCCCTTGGTTTCCTCTGCTCTAGCAAAAAAAGATGACCCAGACGGCAAACTGGAGTCTCAGCAGGCAGGCACTGTTTCCCTTAAAACAGGTAAGTCAAGGGACATTAGGACGTGGAAGGACAAGGCAGTGGGCCTCCTTTTGTCCTCCTGCAGCAACGGTGCCACTAACATGGTCCTGTCTGCCACCAGGGCTCTCCAAATGAGGGGCTTTGGTCTCTAGTGAGACCTTCTCATAGTGTAAGTGGGGCCCACCCTGAGGTATCTGGCTCCCATGGTCTGGGCAGCCCAGGAGCCAGGTGTGTCTAGCTAGAGGAAGCTGGTTGCAGCTGTAGGAGAATATCTGCCTAGAGGAAGCATCACCCTTCTTTTTTTTTTTTTTTTTTTTTTTTTTTTTTTTTTTTTTTTTTTTTTTTTGTAGTGCTGGGGATGGAACCCAGGGCCATATGTGTGTGAGGCAAGCACTCTACTAACTGAGCTATGTCCCCAGCCTGGAAGCAGCTCCTTGACTTGTGAAATAGACCTTGCTCTTTCCAGCCATCCCCGTTGACTATTCTTCCCAACACACAGGATCATGGTGTGGGGTGTAGGCACTGAGGATGATTCAGACAGAAGACTGGAAGCCTGTTTGCAGGAGTTGGCAATGGACCAGCCCAGAGCCACTCTGACGCACTCTAAAGCACTGACAATCCCCAGACCACCCTGGGTTTCGTTTCTTTTCTTTTTTTTTTTTTTTTTTGGTGCTGGTGATTGAACCCAGGGCCTCATGCTTTCCAGGCCAGCGCTCTACCACTGAGCCACATCCCTAGCCCACCCTGGGTTTCTAAACATGTCTAAAACAGGCCCTGCAGAGGGTGGTGCTCCAGGGCATGTCAAGGTATGGCACGCAGAAAATAGTCACATGGGCTTTGGAGGACAGACTGGAGGGAATTATGGGCACAGTCAGGCCCACTGCATGCTGCAGGGAGTAGCCTCCAACCCAGTGTGACATGGATGTTTGCCTTTATCCCTCCTCAAAGCAGTCACCTCCAGAGCCAAACCACTGAGCCCTCTTCCAGAGCACGGCAGGTAAGAGCTTTATGCCTGCTTAGCCCAGAATGGAGTAGAGCCCTGTCCAGGCCAGAGGCAGTGGCAAGGCCCAGTCTTTGGGCTTTAAGTAGCAGTTTCGCGTGCTGGGTCAGAAGCGGAGTCGTTGCTCACTTTCCTCCCCAGTGTTCTCTTTGTGAGAGGCGGGTGTGACAAGGAGACATTTTAGAGGGGGCTGTGGAAGGTTTTTTTTACACGTGTAGTCAGCACACAATTATCAAAGGCAAGCAGAGGCGTGGAAAATTCTAAACAAAGGCTGCACCAGAAGTCACTCTGGCAGGCAGTAAACCTACTTAGTCAGCCACCACCACTTGTGCACCCAGTGCCCCCACCAGCAGCCTAGAACCCTGGCCTAGAAGGGCCAAGGGCCCCCTGTGTCGATGGATTATGAATTGAGCGTCTACAAGCTTCACTTTTATTTTAAATCTATAGCTTATAATAGAGAGACTTCATTATTCATCCATTTCCTCATTTTACAAGCAGGGAAACAGCCCTTGAGAGGAGCTGGGTCCTGGCTAGAGTCACTGAGGTTGGTGGTAAAGTCAGACTCAGAGACCAGATCTCCTGACCCAGCTCTGGACTCCTGGCTACACAATACCGTCTCCCTTCTGTTTGCTCTTTCATCTCGTTGGTAGATTTCAGGGCCTCACATCAACATCTGGGTTCATTGTCCATCCCTCACCCTAATTTGAGTTGAGTTTTGTATGGAAAGACAAAAGAGCTCTAAGTTGAAAGCAAGGTCCAGGTGTGGGGAGCGCAAGGACTCTGGAGACGAGATGGGACAGAGTAACCACTGGACCTTCCCTTCCCGTCTATACCCCTGCAAGAGGAGGAGCTGTCTTTCCTTACATCCTCTCAGCGCTCACCATAGATATTTGTCCTCAGCTTCCCCAGATCCGTGACTCCAACTCCTCTCTCCACAGGTAAAAAGGAAGCCACCTCAGGTGCCACCTCTGAGAAGCCCAGGAAGGAAGCCCCGAGCTCCACAGACTCCACACAGGGACTGCAGAGCAACATTGCCCAGCACTTCCAGGGGGCTCCCTGGCCCCTGAGTGAGGCCCAGGTGCAGGCCTCAGTGATGAAGGTCCTGAAGGAGCTACTGGAGCAGGAAAGGAAGAAGGCCACAGATGCCGCCAAGGACAGCAGCCGGAAAGGCCGGAAGCGGAAGCTGTCAGGAGACCAGTCAGCCACCAGAGCCCCCAAGAGCAAAAAGAAGAAGCAGCTAGTGTCCGAGGAAGGCGGGGAGAGCGCTGTTTCCTCAGAAAAGGCCTCCAGGACTTCCAAAGGGAAAAAGAGAGACAGAGCAAGTGGCAACACAAAGGAGAAGAAGGGGAAGGGAAAGGGACCTTCCGGCTCCCATGGGGCCAGGGACCAGCCAGAAGGGGAGCTGGGGATGGTGAAGGTTGAGGGTGGAGATCAAAGTGACCCAAAAAGCAAAAAAGAGAAGAAAAAATCTGATAAAAGTAAGTAAGATCTTGCTTCCCTAGGCCCATGCTGAGGGCGGCAGGGGTCCTTAGCCAACTCTTGGTCTCTTCCCCGTGCACAAGGAGATCCCTGGATGGGTTTTCCAGGGTCTTGGGGGCAGCCAGTGGCAAAGCCGGAAAAGATTCCAGAGCACCTGGGCCAGAGCTGCGAGCCAGCTCCCCAAAGCCCAGAATGTTCCCTTAGTGTCTGACAGTCACATTCATTTTCAGCTTCAGGCTTCTAGAAGATCCAGGCTCAGGCTGCAGCCTGACAAGGGCAGAGAATGGTGTCCTGTGCCTCTTTGGCCCATGTCAGATTTTGGAAGAGCCTGTTTCTCCCACCAGCTCTGGGGTGCAAAATGGACCAGAACACCTGAGCCCTCATCATCTCTCTAGACCTCGGTTTCCTATTCATTGAGACCTGTGCTAGAGTCTGCGCTCAGTAGGTCCTCGTCAGTCCTTGTGCCAGCACAAGAGGTATTTCATTCCCATTTTGCAGATGGAGAACTGAGGCTCAGAGAAGGAGGATGCTCAGGGTCAGGGGGTTTCACCGTTTCCAAACAGGCAACCCTCTTGTGCTGCACCAGTGGTGGTAGAGGAATACAGGAGACGGGTAGATGCCTAATGCCTCCAGGGCAAAGGCAGGGTGGCCCTCAGAGCAGGACGCTTGACCCTTTGGTGCTCAGTACTGTACTAGGTTCCCACTTTCCTGTCAAAATAACAGTGGGAGGTTTTGTTGTTTTTTCTTTCTTTCTTTCTTTTTTTTTTTTGGTGTGTGTGTGTGGCGGGGGGTGGTTGGGGATGAAACCCAGGGCTTCACGCATGCTAGGCAAGCATCCTACTACAGAACCACATCCCCAGCCCTGTGAGGGAATTTTTTAAATGAGTTAATTTAGGGCCAGGGATATAGCTCAGTGGTAGAGCACTTACCTAGCATGCGAGGGGCCTTGGGTTTCATCCCCAGCACTGCCCCACCCCCCAAAAAAAATAGTAATAATAATAATAATACTTGAGTTAATTTAAAGAAAATTAGTCATAGTCCAAGTGGTCCATGGATGAAGAAGGCATGAGGCTGGTTTTGAAGGACAGGTGTCCTGGCCCCACCCTGGGGCTGTGTTGATGGCTTGCTGGGCTGTGGGGAGAGCTGAGTACCAGCCAGGAGGAGCAGGCCCTGGAACCCTGTCCTGCCCACCCCTATACCTCCAGCATGGCCCAGCACTCAGGATTAAAATCTGTTTTTCAAGAAACTTCCTTTCTTCCCTCAGGTAAAAAAGAAAAGGACAAAAAGGAAAAAAAGAAGAAAGCAAAAAAGGCCTCAACCAAAGACCCTGACTCACTGCTTCAGAAGAAAAAGAAGAAAAAGGTAAAATGAGTTCCTGCAGCGTCTCAGACCGAAAAAGGGACCCAAACCCAGTTCCCAGGGTGAATGTTAGCCCTTCACACACCCAGACACGTCCCTGCCCTCTCCATTCTTGACTCTAAAGTGGGATCTTGTGAGAAAGAGCCGGAAGGGAGTATTCCTAGCCTCTGGAAGCCACAGAAGTGGCCCTGTCTCATCTGTGAGGTGGAGAATGAGGGGGGTTAGGGATGAAGGAAAGGGATACCCCCAGAGGTCAGGGAGACCCACATGGGCTGTCGCAGACTTTCAGGTGAGAAGAAACAGGACTTGGGCTACGTGTACCCAGCTGGCAGGCTGTCCCTACTGAGGAAACTCTTATAGCCATCTGCTCTGCCTGTGGAGCAGCAGGGTTCCAGGGCTGATGGCCTGAGCAGGGTCTATGCTATGGCCAGAGCCTTAGCCCCTCAGGCAGGATGGCGTCCCCACTGTGCCCAGTAGGCCTCGATTTGTCAGGAAAGCCCTGGGCTCCTTCCTGGAGGGCACATGAGGCACTGCCCCATCCCCAGGGATCCCTATAGACCTGGCATTTGTCCTGGGGGAATCGCCAGTCCCTGGCAGGTGTGGCAGTGGGATACACCTCAGGGATAAGAGCCCTGACACTTCTCTCCTCACAGAAGAAGACCGCAGAGCAGACTGTGTGAGAGGCCAGGCACAAGACAGGTATGCTTTCTGGCCCTTCCCAGCCATGGGAGGACCAAAGGAAGGGGGGCTGGGGAAGGTTCCATTCCTCAAGAGTTGGTGGGGCCATGTGACAACACCAGGGGCTGGAGGGAGCTGCAGTGTTGGAAGGGTCCAGAATAGAGCGACCAGCATCAGCACGTGGAGGATAGTCAGTCCCCCTCTCCTGAAGCAAGAAGGCCAGGTTTTATCCTCCTTGATGGAGGGAAAGGTCAGGAGATCTTACGTCTGGATGTGCTTCCTTCCCCCAGGGAGTTCTTAACGGAGTGTTGACCATCTCCAGGCCTCTGACCTCTGCCTACCCTGGCTTGAGACTGGATTTTTAACTTCTCCCTCTGCAGAAGATGGCCAGTGCAGGGTCCCCATGATGGCCAAGCCTGTGAGCCTGCTGGAAGCCTGGTCTGAGGAGGAGGGATCCCAGCTCCTGGGACCTTGCCCCACTGATCCCAGCACAGAGCGCTTCACATAGATGTGTACAGTATATATATTTTTTTAAGTGACCTGTCTCCCCCCTTTAAATCTAACATGCCCAAGGGCTGGACTTTCTACCGCTTCACTCTGCAGACCCAGTGAGGCCAAGTGTGTGCTCATCCATGCACTTGGTAACTCTGGCTGATCCCAAGCCTTTGTCCTCTTTTTGTCTATTCTTCTGGTTGTGGCTTCTGTGTTTTGTTTTTTCTCTTTTTTTAAAGAACTTAGAATAAAAGACTTAAAAGAAAGATGCAAATTCCTGGTGTACCTGGCACAAGGCTATGTAGTTGGCTACTTGGGAAAGACGGTCTGACACCTGGCAGTGAGCAAGCCAGCACTTGGGATTCCTTCTTGATGGAGTAGAGCTCTGGGATTTTGTGAGTGGGACAGTTTGCCAGAGAAATAGCCTGAGCCTGGGCTAAGTCGATGGGGAAAGACTCAGCTGCAGCGAAGCTCATGTGGAACTGAAGGGTGGTTGTGGTTGGTTTCCTATAAACACCCAGAGAGGGGAAATGGGAAGGGGCCTCAGGAACTGACGTGAGTGGGGATAGGCTCTTCTCTTGGTAATAAGTAGCTGGAGCTGAGTAGTGTTCGGCCCAGTTAGTTCAGCCTGGGCACCCCATTTTTTTTTTTTAAGAGAGGGAAGGGGGAGAGAGAGAAAAAAAATTTTAATATTTATTTTTAAGTTATCGGCGGACACAACATCTTTGTTTGTATGTGGTGCTGAGGATCGAACCCGGGCCGCACGCATGTCAGGCGAGCGCGCTACCGCTTGAGCCACATCCCCAGCCCCGGCACCCCATTCTTCACAGCCCCCGCTTCCTGTCCATTCCTGACACTGAGGCCCTGTGTTGGTTGCCATCTGTCATCATACTTGTGCTGTTCTTAGTATAGAAATGAAATTGGGGACATGGGGAAATGGAAGCTGAACCAAGAGGAGTTTGTGCTTAAAAAACTGTATGCAAAAATCTATTTGGGCTGGGGATGTAGCTTAGCAGTAGAGCGCTCGCCTAGCATGCACAAAGTCCTGGGCTCAGTTTCCAGCACTGCACAAAAAGAACCAACTTGTTTTGGAAGTGAAAGTTCTTCACATATCCATGTGTGTCTGTTCAAAGACGTAATCCCTAGATCACCAGCCTCAGTGCTTTGGTTCCTTAGGCTGCGTTCTCACACCTAGATGACTGTATTTAGGTCTTCGCTGACCTCCTTATGGTAAATTAACTGGATTCCAACAAAAAAGCCGGGAGCCAGAATGTTCTACTTACTACCTTTTATTCTTACGTGAGCCATGGCCCTGAGGCTGATGACAAGCTTGGCTGAGCAGCAGAGTTGGGTTGGCATAAGTGAGGAGGGCTAGTTGGTGGGTGAGGCTGGGTTCTTTGGGGAGTGATTAAAAAAAGGGGGGCAGAAGGGGAGAGGACCACGAATATGTTCATCCTAGGGTTTGGGGGTGAGGTGTTCTGTTCCCCGTCCGTGGGCCTAGATCTCTGAGCCCCATGTTGATGACTACTATGATGTTGGAAATGGGGGTTCTCATAGTTGGGGTCCACCTCCCAGTTTTGCTTCCCTGCTGATGGCTAGGAGTTGGGCAGCAGGGCCCTCTTGTGTCATCTGTGCTATTTTGATCTGTTATGCTCCAGGATGATGGAGAGCCAGTCGCCAGAATCTCATGGGACGAGGTGTAGGGTATGAGAGAATGGAGTTTGGAGGGACTGGGGAAGGCTGGAGGCACGGAGGAGCAGGAAAGCTGTGACTACACAGAGCTGGCTGGTGCTGGAGACCGCTTCTTGTTTTCACATGATGACTATGGAAAGGAGCATCAGAGTGAGGCTGGTCCCCTCTTTGTTGTCCCTGCCCTTCTCCCCCCCCCCCCCCTGGCATCCTGAGGCTTCAGAGTAGTCAAGGACTCTCCACCCTCCGCTGCCCCCTGCTGAGCTACAAGTCCTACCCAGCAGAGACTCCTGTCCCCCGCCCCCAGCAGCCCCCAGCCCTGTTCCTCAGTTGGGAAACGGTCATCCCAGGCTGTCACAATCCTCGAAATGAGCTATGGGACCAGGTTCCCTTGCACAGGGCTCTCACCTTGGCCCAGGTCCTGCTTAGTCACACCCAGTCCAGAAGACACATCCTCCAGTTCCAGTGGCTCTGTTGGGAGCATCAGATGGTTTGTTCCCTGTAATGCCAGCCACCCCACCTCGGGGCAAAGTGCCTGAAGACCTTCCCTGGAGGTGGAGCAGGCTCCACAATGCAGGGGGGGCTGAATGAAAGCCCAGGAAGGGGTGGTGCGACGCAGTGGGAGTCCATAGGACTCCTGGATGCAGGAGGACAGCGCATGGACAGATGTGTGGATGTCAGAGGAGACAAGTGACAAAGGGACAGACAGAAGAGGAGTGCCCAGATGGGTCGATGGATCAAGGGCTGGATGTGTGGCTGACAGTGGCTGTCCCCAAGAGCTGCCATCCCATGTCCTGGTCCCATGTGCCAGGAGGGACCTCTTGCCCCTTGGCTTTCCTAGTCCTTGCTAGTCCTTCACACTGCTGGCATGGTGGCCCCTGCTTACCACTGCAGTCATGGCGCCCGCGGCTCCTGGTGTGAGGGACCTCAGTGCCGTTGGGGAAGACGCACCAGCAGTAGCCGATGCTCCCATGGCACTGGAGCGGCATATAGTTACCGTTCTCATCACACTTGGGACGGAATGCGCCCGGGTGGACAGCAGGGATGTGGCTGACCTCTTCCTGGCATTTGGTCAATACTGAAGCGACAGGTGTGATGAAGACAGTGAGTGAGCAGGCTCTGGGCTGGGGTCTCAGCAGAGCCGGACTTACACACCCTGCCGTGGGCCTAATGCCTTGCGCCCTCATGTCCCTGCCTCCTCCACTCACTGCATAGGAGCGAAAACTGAGGCCCAAGGCCTAGACCAACAAGTCCAAGATCAAAGAGGAAGTGGGTGGCTGTGTGTCGTTCACCCCAGAACTGGATGACCCCTTCTGACAGCCAAAGCCTTAAAGTGTGGAATTGACCCATGATTGTGATTTCAAGAGGAAAGCAGAAATCAGCCTTCGGTTACTGGGAGTACCCAAATACAAGGGAGGTTACCCTTTGTTGGGGGTGCTTAACGACATGGAAGCCCAGAAGGAAGAGACAGCACGAGGATGAGATTGTAGCACTCATAAAGGCTTCAGGCAAAAAAAAAAAAAAAAAAAATGGGTGTCATACTGGGGTTCCTGCCTGGTATGTTTGATGTTGGGTTTGCCCCAGGCCCTCTTGGGCAGTGTCTTCTGTGACGGAGGTTTTGTCATGACAGGAGGCCTTCGGACCCCAAGAGCAGTTAACGGTGTGAAAGCACAGACCAGACAAGAGGGTCCAGGGTAGCCAAACCCAGAGAGAAACAGGCAGGAGAGGTGGTGAGAAGCGGGAGAGTGACAAGAGATCATGGAATTGGCAAGTGCTACAGGCCCTCTCTTTCCAGAGAGCCCTGAGGGAGCCCCAGATCCCTGGCACCCCAAAGTTTCTACTCCCTGTACCTCTTGTTGGGGCCTCAGTGGGCTTCTCCTCCAGGGAGTTCTTGCTCATTTCAAACAGGAGCCACTGGTGCAGCCAGTTCTCAAAGACCTAATGTGGGTAGAGGTTAGAGGTCAGAGGTCACATTCAGTAGACATCACCAAGCTGCTACCCTGCCTGGGAACAGAAACATGGAGGATCATACAGGGCCCAGTGGATTCTTCAACTCTACGCATTCTCCAGCGTTCTGGGCTTTGTGAGTGCTGGTGGACCCAGAGCAGCTTCCAGAGAATGGCTCCCCTAGCCCAGCCCTCCCCGCCCCATTTCTTTCCAACTCTACCAGAGACACCAGAAAAAAGGGCTCCAGTGCAGGGAAACTACTGACCTTCCAGTCCAGGTTGTCCATGGTGCTCTTGAGGTGTTTCAGGTTCTCCGGGAAGCTCCCCTTCAGCTGCGGGTACACCTTCAGGGGATTGGATTTCTGCAGAGTGGCAAGGCAAGAAGGAAGGTTAAAAAGAGCTCCCTGTCAGGCAAGGTGAAAATGTGCAGCCCATGTTCCCCTTGTCTTCCATTCTGAGATGTGGACCTGAGCTGCACTAAGCCTGGACCCTGGACCTCAGCCATATGGAAGGGGAGGAAATAAGGGCTGTTCACCTTGTCACTACAAGGGCCCAGGGCTGGGAGACAGGCTTCAGGTTCCAGACCAGCTCTACCAATACCCACCCCCAGTCTTGTCCCTGTAGACACCTACTTGTGTTCAAGGTCTTACCTTCCCCAGGAAGACTGACCATCCCCAGCTTAGTTGGGTCCTCTGCCTATTACTTGAAAGCCACCTATACTTGCCTTGTAATCTGGTCACTTGCCTGGGGTCACCCACTTGCCTAGGATCCCTTTGGCCTTGGGAGCTCCCACTGTGGCCTCTGAGTCTTGCACAGAAGGTAGGAATTTTGAAAAAAAAAAAATTGAAAGGAAAAAATAGCTGGAGCAAGTCACTTCAGAGCTGTCGGCCCTTTTCTGCATCTCACAGATGAGGGCAGGATGAACTACACGTCATTTAAGGGCCCCCTTGGGTTCCTTCAGGTGAGCATGGGAGTTTTCAGTGAGGTGTGGGCGGAGCTCCTGTGGGCATGGGCTGCCAGGCTCCTTGCACTCACCAGGAGCAGGTGCATCACGTGGTCCTGCGTCATATTGCCGTACTTGGTGGCATTCTGCTTGGGCTGTGGAGGGAGAAAACAGAGGGTCACTCACCCGCTGTGGCCCTGAAAGTGGGGACCTGCAGCAGGAGCCAGCAGCCAGGGTCTGGGGAAGAGTCAAATTCCAGGCACTCAGCAGGCCTGTCCCTGCCACAGGAAAGCTGTTGTGTCACTTGAGTCTCCAGCCTCAGGATCTTCATTGGTCACAGCTGGCATAAGCTTCCCTGCACAAGGCCTTACCAAGAGCAGTTTTATGAACAGAAACCTTCAATCCATACATAATATCAAGAGAAGGGGAGGGGTCGCCAGGCGCTGTGTAATAGACGGGGCAGGCCTCCTCCCAGCATGGCCCCAAGGCTCTTGCCCCACCTCCATGGGAAGCCCCTTCCTGAGGCGGCCTCCTGCTCCCACAGTCAGGACACTCCCCACTGGGCCTTTTCTGGTCCCTTCTCCCTGCCCCTCTGCTTGGCACCTGTCCCTAGATCACATTTCCCTCCCACCACCGTGGGCTGTCCTTACCCCCTGGCGCAGGCCTTCCATGGGCAGTGCCTGCATGAGCAAGGGG